CCTGAGATAACTTTTGTTATGAACCAGTTGAAGAGCGACAGGAAGGAAAAAGAGTGCTGCAAAAGGCCACAGGTTGGACTCGAACTCACAGCTGTTACAGAGATGTCATGATGCCCGAAATTTAATAGTTAATACCAATGCCAGTGAATTTCCAAGAATCTCGATACCAATTCAATACCACAGTAAGAATGTCCCGATCTTGCCCTCAAAGGTTTTTTTGCCCTTATTCACATTTTGTAAATCACCTGTGTAGCTGCACTTATCACCGTCCTCTATGTGTTCGTCTTCCTGGGCCATATAATGGCTGACAACAATAGTTGTAGGCATATGTGCTGGGCTGTCAGGTCCAGAACAATTGCATTCTAGGTTTTTTTGCAGTACCTACAGTACTGCAGCACATAGAAAACAAGTATTGTCAAGGTTTCAAAATTTTGGCATCGACTTGGTACCAAAGTATTGGTTCTCATGACATCACTAGTGAGGACTTAGCCTTGACTCATGGCAGTCCAGCTCTATCAGGTCGTCCATTTCTGTCTTAACTGAAGATGTAAGATAGGACATTTCTGTAATACGGCCTGTTTTATAAATTCTGAGACAAAGAGTCGCCCTCTGGTGGTGACTTTCAAAAGTCAAACTTTATTTAAAAAATTATACAAGTGACAGAAAAAGAAACTAAATCTATCAAAAAAGTACATTTTGAGATGGCAAACCAATCAGAGAGCTAGAAACTGAAGGTGACCACCAGACAGCAGCACAACACTCTCCCATCAGCTACCTGTTGAGTCAGGGAGAGGCTAGGCTAAGCTAGCCAGGAGATATCCATGCTCATGCTAATTAGCATGTTAGCATATCACAAAAAGCTTCAAAGCATGGTCCAGAATGTTAGCATAGCTGGGGGATGGCACACTTAAGAGGACAGTGAATAATGTTAGCATGTGAGCATAGCATTAATGGTCAACAGTTTCATGTTAGGTGATGTGTTCAAAGTCCATTGACTCATCAATGATCCCCTTGATTGATTAAATGGTGAGGAATCACCAGAGACCTTCCTGTCCTCTGTGGTATCATCCAATTAAAAGACTATGTTCTCCTGGCCAATTGGAAGCCTCTTGAACACGTGAAACATGCAAACACAATGTCATGAATTCTGCCATGCATCGGCCAGCCAATCAGCATCCAGCCTGAGACACCTGTAGGGGTGGAGTCTGAGCCTTCCTGTTACCTGTGATGTCACTAATCATTCACGTGTTCAGGAGACACCTCTGTTTCTTTATGGACGACGACTCGTGTGACAGACAGCTCAGGATGCTGCCGACGCGCCTCGCTGAGCGCCGCAGCCAAAGCCTTCAAGAGAGACATGAACCTGGTCAGAACCTGGTCCAGGTCCAGGTCAGGATTAACCCAGGACAGACCAGATATGTCCCAACTAAATCTAGGTCTGTATAGGCCTGTCCAAGGTCCTATGTGTAGAATTTACAGCTATCTAGTGGTGAGACTGCAGACTGCAACCAACTGACAACAGCTCAGCCCTCCCAGAGTGTAAGAGAAAGTACTGTCAATAGGTCAACTGTACACAATCACCTGTACACATGTCAGTAATAATGAAGTCATGTTGTTACCTGGTCATGGTCAATTTCTGAGTCTCCAGAAATCACAATTCTCTTCTCAATTCTGGTTTCTGAAATCCCTCCTTTAACCGTCTGAAGAGAAAGTGAGAAAGTAGAATTTAATCTAATGAAACATTTTTACTGGATTCTGTCTGATTATTTCTTCAGTTCTATTTCATGTCTAATAGCATATTCACACAGAAAGCAAAGTACAATGAGATTACATACAAAGTCAATACAAGGACGCAGACGTGAATTCCTGCCAGGCGACAATGTGTCAAATATTTAACTTTGAGGTGGTCATTTTGTTGTATGTTGAGGTGTTTGCAGTGTTGTTTGAGGAGGAGGGAGAGACAGAACTGCTGCTGCCCACAGACAGCTGCTGGACCCTGGGGAGCTCTGCAGGAGAGAGCCAGAGCTTCTGGAGGAATAAACACCTGTAGTCACACTGGATTCTGATCTGATCTGGAGATGTTTACACTGTTTATTTTTGTAAAAATATATTAACCCCCACCTGGAGCTGTATAATGCTACTTCATATTTATTGTTGAAGAAAAATACGAGAGGAAATTGAAAAATATATATGTTACTTGATTCCAGCTGTCGGTTTAGCATAGCCCTGATCAACCAAACTCTATTAAGGAAACAAGCGTTTGTTCATCTTTCAGACTTTTAACAAATCTCTTATATTCTCATCTTTCTAATGATCTTCACTGTCTGGCAGAGATTTAATAAAACATGTCTAATTGACTGTGTAGTGGATTGTGATGTTGTGGCATTACCATGGTGACAGATGTTACCTTGGTGATGTGTGTGGTGGTGGTGGTGTTGGAGGTCTCTGCAGTGAAGGTCTGGGAGCTCAACAGTAAACCTGTGGGAGGATCAGAGTCCACTTGGCTCTGAAACACACACAATAAAAAGGAGCTCTGTGCAGGAACTTCAGACGTCCAATCTGAACACCAGCCAAGAATCAGCACAAATTGCATGAGCTGAGCATATAAATATTTATTGAGGGGTAATTTTTATAAAAGATAAATACAGACTGTCCTCACTCCTGGAGCTTCATATGTGAGAGTCTTCCTCATCACTGGGACCTCCTGACAGTAACAAAGAGAACATTTGTTATTAATGATAATAATAATTTATAACAACTTGTAAAATGTACTGTAATGGCAGGGACCACTGGCGGGCAGATTACCCCCCACTGGGCGGGCAGCGTATCACTGCGGGCAAGCGTAACACTGGGACAGGTATCACTGTGGCAGGGGACCACTGGGCGCAGATACCACTGGGGCAGGGACCACTGGGGCAGGGACCACTGGGGCAGGTATCACTGGGGCAGGTTTGGGTCTCAAGTTACCTCCTGCAGAGGTTCAGTCTCATCATTATCATCATCGCTGTGGTCGGAACGCTGCGTCTCATTGGCTGAGCAGGAGTAACTCCTGGTGGTGGGGCGGGTTAAAGAAGGAGGAGGGGAGTTTTCTCCAAACCGCCACCCTCCCTCGTCAGAGTCGCCAGAGTCCTCATTGTCATGGTAATGCTGACGCAGACTCACAGCAGGTTGAGAGCCCAGAACAGAATGGGGTCTGGTGCTGGGGCTACTGTTAGCTTCCATGCTAAATAGCTCCTGCTTACTGTGGCTAAGTAAAAAGTTAGCACTAATGCTATCCTGATAAGCATCATCAGCACCTGGGCTCTGAGCTTGTCTAACTGCAGCCTCCATGGCTTCCTCCACAGCAGCCTGTGCTAACACACTGATAGCATCTTCACTAGCATCGCTAGCATCGTCATCACTAGCCTGGCTGCTGCCATCATCATCACTGTCCTCGTGTTTTTCTGCTGAACTGTTAGCCTGGTTAGCATTATTAGCATTGTTACTTTCATCATCACTGGACCATTCTTCTGTGACATCATCCACATGTGTCATACAGGCCCCTGGTGGAGGGGGTGGGGGATTACTAGGGGGTGGGCCAACAAGATTTTCTTTTGCTACCTGAGGGTGGTCTGCCATCGGCTGGTCCTGGTCACATGGCTCCGTCATCAAGAAGACAGTCTCCACCTTCTCTGACGTCTGAAACAGGAAGTTGAGAGAATAAGGACAAATTAATCAGGTAGCTCCGGTACGAGGGGTCGTAGCTACAGCTCAGGGTTCACAGGGTCATTTCAGTCATCATTTATCTAAAAACAGTTCAAGTACAACTTTATTTATTTAAAGTTTATTATTTATTTTAATACACCTTTGTCCTTATTTTTAGTTGATTTTGCCAATTCCACCTTCACCTAAAATTTTAAAATGATCCCATAATGCTCTAGTTTACAGAGTGACAACAAACCGAATGCGTGAGGCAGTCATAAATGTTGCTAAAGAAATAAATATTCCTGTTTTGTTCCTCAGCTTGTTATGTCTCCGAGCTTTGCCCTAGTTGGTTAATCACAGTATTCAGGTTACAGGTTAGACCTTTAACATGTGAACGACTTCCTAACTGCCACACTAAGTAAATACAATAACCCCCAAATTCCCCTGGGCACGGCTATGACGCGCTTCGGTTGCACTGCAGTTGCCAGAGCCGATGAAGCCCATTCTAGACAATGCTCGAGACTCCCACAGAAGCACCACAGCGAGTCCCCCAAATGTCTCTCTGCTCTGCTCCACGGACAATATGCGGCTGGCCTCTTTTTGACAGAAGTTGCGACCCACTCACGTCAAGCAGCACAGAGCAGATCACACTGACACAGAAACAGATTTGAGTCAATTTTCAAAATAAAATACTGTGAGCAGACTCCAGATCAAATTTTATGCTACATCACCACTGTAAGTAAGTAAAGCCTTATTTATATAGCACTTTTTTAAAGGCCCAGACACACCAACCCGATTATCGGCTGTCG